ACATTTTTATTGTTAAGGGTTTAATTGACTATTGGCTGAGCGATAGCGAAGCCTACTTGGCTGAGCGATAGCGAAGCCTATTACTTCAGTGATGATCAAAAAGTTTCGTATCTGTCTGTCTGTGTGTCTGTTTGTCTGTAAACACGATAACTCGAGAATGGGTTGAGCTAGGTATCTGAAATTTTTAGCGTAGCTTTGTAGCATAAAAAGCAAGAACGGTATTGATTTTGAGCCCTCTAACGAAAACCCCAAAATATTACTTCTAATTTTTTATTTGTTTTACATCTTTCTAAGATGTTACTCGTCATAGAAGAGCCCGTAGGGCTAAAATTTTGTCCGTTTGGCTCTATCTCTAACCGTTTAAGTCGCCAGAGGGCGATTTTAACACGAAAATGACCCATTTTAATGTTGTTTCTCAGATATTTGATGGACTCTGGTGGGGCAACTCGTCAAAATAAAATCCTGGGGATAAAATTTGTGTCCTTTGGTGCCGAAGGCCTATCTGCGACTCTGCCTTCTGCCCGACTCGGGTGTCAGCGCCGCAGGCCTAGGTAGATGTATGCCAGGCACGTCGCAGCGTAACAGTGATATCGCGAAGCCTGTTACGCGAGACGTGGTCTGGCGTACATCTACCTAGTATTGTTTAAGGTTATCAGATTTGGACTATGTATACTGATTTACCATTTAAATGTTGGGCCTACTTGTTATTGAATTGCCTCTAACGCTTTTCTTTACATATTCAAGAGAAAGGCTCTGGGATTCTAGGTGTGTACTGTAAAGTACATTAACACTCAAGGCTGTGCAAGATGTATTTTTATTTGCGTCTGCTTCTGTGACCGGGGTCGTAATTACCTTTTTCTTTGTACTGGCACTTAAAAAACATTACAGGGTTATTGGGCAACTATTTGACTTTGACTACCTAAAAGTACCGAGAAAGTACCTAGGTACCGGACGAAAGTACCTAATACCTACTTAGATAGTGAGCTCGATGAACTACCTCATACCTACTTAGGTAGTGAGCTCGATGAACTACCTAATACCTACCTAGGTAGTCAGTTTACAATTCTACCGCTACCTTACCCAGGTACTGGAGATGAACTACCTTACCCACCCCTGATTCAGTCTTACAAGGACATACATTGACTCCTGAACCCTCGCCCATGTTGTTCAAGGATAGTCAAAGCATGTTCTTGTAAGACTCAATATGAGTGACATCCATTCAACAATTGAGGCTGGGCTCCTAACTTAAAACTTAAAAGAATAACACATTCTTGAAAAAAAGGTGAAAAGTTTTAAAAAATCAGTGCTCTGCTGCAATAAGCATGTTTTTCAGCAGTACAGCAGTACAAGCCTTTCCTCCTGAATCTCAATGAGTCCCTTCATTTGGTCCTCCTTCCTCTTCTGTATTAATTTATCCTGCTCATAGTTATTCCTAACGAATTTCAACCTTTCCTGTTCCACTTCCAATTTCTCCCGCTTAAAACCCATAACTTAAGCTATGAGGGCTACTTTTCTGACCGCCTTGTCTTGACGTAATTGATGGCGCTCATCTGACCGCTTTAAGTAATAAATCCATTGATTTTGTAGCGTATTTCTCACCACGGCGTGGCGAGAGCCACTTCCATGGGCAGTCTTTGGTTTCTTGAGATACGGCTTCTCAACAGCAGCCTGGCCTGATGGCTCACCGTTGTTGGTAGGAGCCAGGGGCGAGCTGACTTAAGGCACAGCGTTTTCCGGGATCTCAAAGGGAGTCTTGAGTTTGGAGAGAAGATCTTTCATGTAGAGTTCAGAAGTGGTGTAATTGGCTGTTGCACCACCAGACGCATGCGCAGCACTTTTCTTTGAGGACCTAGACTTATCTAAGTTGAAATACTTATTACGGCACTGAGTGCCATCAGCGCCAGCACCCAGCTCAGTGGCAACTTCCCGCCAAAGTGCTATTTTCGATACCTTAGACTAAAAGAAAGGCACGCCGTTCATCCGCCCGTTTTGAAAAGCACGCAGTTCAGCCGCGCGCGAGGGGTGTGGTACTGGTCCATGGTTGCCACAACTCTGAAAAACCTTGAAAACCTGGAAAACTCAGGGAAATAAAAAACTGTCAGGGAAATCAGGGAAAACTCAGGAAAAATGAAAAAAAGTCAGGGAAATTTTGTCTGACTGGTCCCCAAACTGCAGTCTATTCGCCATGTGTTGGTCAAATACACATTTTGACGTCCCAGTAGGGTGTTTTGTCCCAAAAGTTTTTCCGCTCGCTTCGCTCGCGGTCTTGTATTACAGTAGTTAGGGGTAATTGTTTGTCCCAATACTTCACCAGGGACGGTGCTTAAAACTCAGGGAAATTTGGGGAGAAATGGTCTGGGAATCAGGGAAAACTCAGGGAAAATGGAAATGAAAATTTTGTGGCAACCATGTGGTCAAAAAAGTGTACACATGATTGTGTCTAGACAATCATTATTTCAGATTGTGTGTGATTGTTTATGATTGTGTCGATGATTGTCTCTGATTGTTTCAGATTGTTGGGTCAATATTGGGACATAATTTTAAAAATTGTGTCATGATTGTGTGTGAATGTTTTAGATTGTGTGTGATTGTGTGGATTGTTTGTGATTGTTTCAGATTGTGTATGATTGTGTGTGATTGTTTCTGATTTTTTCAGATGGTTGAATAAATATTGTGATGCATTTTGCAACATTGTGTCAGATTATGACCTGATTGTGTGTGATTGTGTGTGATTGTTTCGTGATTGTGTGTGATTGTTTCGTGATTGTGTGTGATTGTTTCGTGATTGTGTGTGATTGTTTCGGATTGTGTGTGATTGTTTCGGATTGTGTGTGATTGTTTCGGATTGTGTGTGATTGTTTACGATTGTGTGTGATTGTTTCATGATTGTTTCTGTGTCCAGTTCCACACCCCTCGGCCGCGCGTTTCGAAAGACACGCAGTTTACCGCTATAGAGACAGGAACTGCGTGTCTTTCGAAACGCGCGGCCGAACTGCGTGTCTTTCGAAACGGGCGGCTGAACTGCGTGCCCTTCGAAACGCGTGGATCAGCTGCGTGCCTTTTTGGCTGAGCGATTAGCGATGCCTATTACTCCGTCTGGTCGGAAAACACTTTGTCGTTTTGTGTCATAAAAAGACACATCGAGTTCGAAGATGAGCATTCTAGCTCAAAAATTGGATTTTTAAAAAATCAAAAACAACAGGTCCCAAAAATGACGTTTTTTAAAAATATTTTTTTATGGTTTTCTGAGGGATAACTCATCAAAGTAGAGTCTTATGGGGGAAAATTTTGTCTGTTTTGCTCTAGCTCAACCCGTTGAGGCGCTAGATGGTAGTTTTGACGAAAATAAGCGAAAAAGTACAACCCTGTATGCTTAGTCGAGGTGACGGGCCGTTGACGGGCCGTAGGCCCGTATCTTTGTGGACATTTTCCAACTTCCCGACTCGGGTGTCAGCGCCGCAGGCCAAGGTAGATGTATGCCAGGCGCGTCGCAGCGTAACAGTGTTTCGTGAGATATCGCGAAGCCTGTTAGACGTGGTCTGGCGTACATCTACCTTGTAGTCTAAGGTATCGTTTTGTTTTTGCTTTTGTCTGTTGCTTTCTTGGGGACAACGATGTCCAGAAGCTTTTTGGCTAAATTTTCCGGCGAATGAAAGGTACCCTCTCCAACAGCACCTTCAGCCTTCGATGATTTTCCTTAGGATTCACTCGGTACTGATGCAAAGACCTGAGATGATGAAGAACTGCTGGCCTGAGAAGAAGCTTGAGATGATAAGGGCTTCGGTAGAGGTGGCTTTGAGAGAAGCTGCACCTGTCGCCCTGATTTAATGAGACGGTTTATCTCCTCCCTTTTCAAAATCATTGGTCGCTGTAAAGATAATGGCTGAATGAGAACATTGAAACGAATTGGATAGGGATCACTTTCTGTAGAATGAACTAAATTCTAGAGTTCACAAAGACCAATAGAGCGACTGAACCTATTTCAGATCAGATTTTTGTATTCCCGCCCTATACTAAAGCACACAGGTCTTAGAACAATCACGTAGGAAGCGAGGGGGCAATAACTCCGGGAATCATGTGTACATCTGCCTGGGAATCATCACGATAAAAATTAATCGAAATCAACAGAAATCGTTTAAACTAAGTGGGAAACTAATGAAACTGATACAAATTGGTCGAAGTAAGCGTTTTCTCCCGATGCAGACGATGTCTCGGCGCTCCTGTTCGATGACAGCGCTCGGAACGGGCCAGCGGCCCACCTGCAGCAGGCCGCCGGCGACCTCGGTGAGGGTCTCGCACATGGCCACGCACGCAGCGCGTGTGGGGCAGAAGATGAGTACAGAGCGGCCGTACGTGACGGCGTCGACCACAAGCGTGGCCACGACTCGCGCGTCCCAGGCACGCTGATCCTCGGTCCTGCGCCTCTCGGCGAGGCCCGTGTACGGGTCCATCACGTGCGCTGGTGCTGGTGGCTGCTCGTCGGCTGCGGTCCCGTGCTGCTTCTGCCACTCCTCTGCTGCGGCGGCTGCCGCCACAAAGTGGACAAAGCCGAGGCCGAGTCCCCGGGCACGTACGTCGGCGTCTCTCCCGGAGGTCAGGAGCCCTCTGCAGTGCTCCGCGACAGCGACCGGCACCCGGCGGACCGTCGGGAACGTGATGCGCTGCGACCCCTGTCTGTGGGGCAGCTTGACGAGCGCAGACCTCTGGTGGTAGAGCCTCGTCTGGTGTGTCCAGAGCCACAGGCGCAGTGGCGCGCCGTCGTCCCCTCGCACAGGCCGTCCCTGGAGCGTGAGGTGGTCCATGTCGCCGCCGACGTCGAAAGCCTCCTCCCCTGGCACTGCGTGTCCGCCCTGTCCCTGCCCCTGCCGGCTGCCGGTGAACCGGGCGTGGCCGCTGCCCGTCGGGTCCGCGGTCTATGGGGAAGGCCGCCCCCGCCACGATGGCGTACTCTCGGAGCGCCTCGGCCTGGTGTCGTCGAGGGACGTGGTGAATCACACAGCCGTCGGGCTTGCCACCCCCGAGGTAGGCGGCGAGGACGTCCTGGTTGCCCACAGTGGCGGAGAGGGCCAAGATGCGCGTGGAGGCCCCGGACCAGAAGAGCACGATCGAGGCGAGCTCCTCGTAGATGCCGCCGCGCGTGTCGTCACCTGGAATCGTATAAATCTTTACAGTGACAGTCAGATATCGTCATCGTCCGTGACTCGGAGCATAGAAGTTGAAAACATACCAAGCATTTGCAGTTCGTCAAGGACGAGGCAGCCGAATCGGACTGGTGGCGTGCTCTTGGCAAAGTGCCTCCATACGATGTTGGCCTTCTCCATGGTGCACACGTAGAGGATGCTGGCCGTCCTGAAGGAGGTGGTGACCCTGGCCGGCGGCGGCAGCTTGCCCTTGGCGCCCGCGTCTCTTCCACGGAGAAGCAGGTGGGGGCCTCCCGCCGGATGAGCTTTGCCACCAGGAGGCGCAGCTCGGCCGCCACCTCCTGCACGATGGCGATGTAGGGCATGACCATCATGGTGTCCTGGCGGCGGACGAGCAGAGTGTCGAGAGCAAGGATGATGGCGACCATGGTCTTGCCCCCACGATTACCTAGGATTACCTAGAGTGTCGAGAGCAAGGATGATGGCGACCATGGTCTTGCCCCCACTGGTCGGTGCAATCACCAAGCCGTTGCGGCCCTCTCCGCGGCCGCCGGCGAGGTGGCTGTCCAGGACGTCACGCTGCCAGGGGTGCACTGTAACTGCCAAGGGGAACTTTCGGGGTGTTTTCGGGTATGTGAGGGATTTCTGTCACGTTTAAACAGGGGATTGAGGTGAAGTTGCCTTTCGGGCCCATTATGCAGGATGAAGATCACCCTATGACATGGGGGTCCTGCCCCACGTTGTGTACATTTGTGCACAATAAGCATTCTCGCAGTTCCCTC